GTGTGTGTGTGTGTGTGTGTGTGTGTGTGTGTGTGTGTGTGTGTGTGTGTGTGTGTGTGTGTGTGTGTGCGTGTATATGTGTTTGTTTGTGGGTGTGGGCGTGGGTGGGTGTGTGCGTGCGTACGTGCGTGCGTGCGTGCGTGCGTGCGTGCGTGCGTGCGTGCTTGTGTGTGTATCTTTCTCGCTTTCTCTTGCTACGATCTTTATATCTCATACACTCAGGTCGTCTCAGTATCTCAGGATCACTCTCTCTTTGTAGGCTTTCCCTACCATCTACCTCATTTCTTCATAACGGTCAATACTCAATAGTAAAATAGAGCAGAGTGGTGGCAATAACAAACACACACTCTCATCTCCTACATCACCAAGCATCTATAACATATTAGTTTAATAAGTAATCGTGTTTGTTTGCTGCAGTTGGCTTTTCCAACACAGGAGCAGATGGAGACGAGAAGGCAGGAGCGTTCCCAGGCGAAGTCAAATTCGGAAGCCAGCATCAACTACACGCCAAACTCGATCGAGAGTGGCCTATACGAGATGCTACAGGAGTACATGGTCGAGAACGAGAATCTCCGGTAGGTGGCGCCACAATTCACACATTCAGCACATTATATTATTGGATATCTATGTTTTAAAACGACACATACAGACTAAGACTATAACACGTATGTACCTATGTGCATGTGCGTCCTCCAAGCACAACACGTGTGTGTAACATCTTATCAGGAATGAATGAGAGCAAATTTTCTTTTATTCACCTTACTTCTGATCTTATGTATGTATGTATATATATATATATTTATATATATACACACAGACTAAGACTATAATGCATATATACCTTTGTCTTTTTCGGCATGGTTGACAAACTACACTGCACATACGAGGGATGCATACATGTGCGTGTGTGTTTTACAGGGTGGAGAACGTAGAGCTTCATCACAGCAGGGTGAAACTAGGCAGCGACCACGAGACGCTGTCGCGAGATAACGAACGGCTCGTCAAGAAGCTAGAAGGCCTCACCAGGTCAGAGACAGACGTGTGGGAGGGGGCAGTGACAGACGTGTGGGAGGGGGCAGTGACAGACGTGTGGGAGGGTCAGTGACAGACGTGTGGGAGAGTCAGTGACAGACGTGTGGGAGGTTCAGGGACAGACGTGTGGGAGGGTCAGTGACAGACGTGTAGGAGAGTCAGTGACAGACGTGTGGGAGGGCGGTGACAGACGTGTGGGAGGGTCAGTGACAGACGTGTGGGAGGGTCAGTGACAGACGTGTGGGAGGGTCAGGGACAGACGTGTGGGAGGGTCAGTGATAGACGTGTGGGAGGGTCAGTGATAGACGTGTGGGAGGGTCAGGGACAGACGTGTGGGAGGGTCAGGGACAGACGTGTGGGAGGGTCAGGGACAGACGTGTGGGAGGGTCAGGGACAGACGTGTTGGAGGGTCAGTGACAGACGTGTGGAAGGGAGCACGACATTGCAGGGGCAGTGACAGACGTGTGGAAGGGAGCACGACATTGCAGGGGCAGTGACAGACGTGTGGAAGGGTGCACGACATTGCAGGGGCAGTGACAGACGTGTGGAAGGGTGCACGACATTGCAGGGGCAGTGACAGACGGATGGAAGGGAGCACGACATTGCAAAATCAGTGACAGATGCATGGGAGAGGGGTACGGCGTTGCAGTGTCAGCGCCTGTATGAGGGAGCGCGGCATTGTAAGGGCAGCGGCTATTGCCGGTTTAAGGGGGCAGCTGCTCCTATCTATATTTTAGAGAACACTAAAATAAAAGAATAATAAATATATACAACCCTAAAATAAATGAAAATTCTCGTGTAATTAATCCGTGTAATCCTCGTCGTACACCCACATCCGCTACATTATTCACGTCAACTGCATGGGAGCTGCACCACTCTATTGAAATTACCCAGTTGGGTTACGAAATTTTGCCGCACCCTCTAGAAACTTGCCCGAGCTACGCCCCTGAGCAGTTTATGTAACGTAGAGGTGGGTACATGTTTAGTGTGGACAAGAAAGAGATTTAGTGTGGGCGGGATTTATTTTCAGTGTCTTCAAGAAAGATTCCGTGTGGGTTCGAGCTACTGTGGATTCATTCGGAAACGAGACTAGTATGGCGTGGGTCGGAGATATATTTTACCCGCTAATGTAATTTACTGCAGGCTGTTCCTGGCATCACCATTCACACCTCATGCCGTAGAATCAATCCCATCCACTCCAGCAATGGATATAAGATTAAGTGAGCTGACAACACCGGAGTCCACCGTACACCTTCGCTCGCCATCACCGCAGTCCTGGGCGAGCAGATCGCAACCCGGGCAGCAATTGCTCCCTCAGAAACCACCACACCACCTACCAGAAGCCATCAGCAAGAAACTGTGAGCGTGACTTAATTGAGAGCGTGAGGTTACTTGTGTATACGTCCGTCACACATCACGTGACGGCGGCCGTTCGCAACTCGTGCTGATGAAAATAAATAGCAGTGACAGACTTCTAACTTTTGTACAACTATTCCTCTAATATTATCATAACGTACGAACTAAGATCATTTGCTATTATGATTCAGTTGATTGCAATCTAAATGATCTGCACTAGATCACGACATCTGACGAGCCAGGGGATGAGATGATGATGAGATGCGTCAGATGACTATCGGCTCACTGTTACAGGCGAAAAATCGAGGCATCACAAAAAACCTACAGTCAGCAATTCCAGTCACGACAACTCCATAAGAGCAAACGGCAGCCGTCGCGGCTGCCGCAACCCGTGCGCCCTCTGTGGGCAGAGGCTGATGTCTCGTGTACCAGTAGGGAAGTACCCGAGAAAAGAAATGCGGGTGAAAGCACACCTAGGAAGATTGTGAGTACCAGTTCTGCAGAGTCAGCATTGGACAGGGAGGTAGAAGAGGGTGCTTATCACCACGTGTCTGCACTGGAACTCTCAAGGCGCAGTAGTGAAGGTGAATAGGCTGCATGAAAAAAAACGCAAATAATTATACCGAGCAAAATTTAGTCGTTTAAACTTTTAATCTGCTGGCCTGTTCGAAAACTCATTACAATGTGTGAATTTTCACGCTACCCAAGACATGCATTAATAACTGATAGTTGTCAATAGGAATATGTTTTTGCATTTTATATGTGTGTGCGTGCGCGTGTGTGAGTGCGTGCGTGCGTACGTGCGTGCGTACGTGCGTGCGTGCGTGCGTACGTGCGTACATAGGTGCATGCGTGCGTGCGTGCGTAGGGGCGTGCGTGCGTAGGGGCGTGCGTGCGTTTATGTATATATAACATTTTATGAGCCTAGCCATTCATATGAAATGATTGCTTAATAAACTATACATCGCATATTTTACAGAGATCGGCACACAACTGCACATGAGACTGGCACAGGATCTGCACAGTCTAAGTGGACAAATTAAACAAGAGCAGGACAGAGCACACAAAAGAGCCATTTATGCCGAAGAATGAAGTGTACACTATAGCTGTGAGGAAATTAAAATGATTTGGTTCGATTTTAGTTTTATGATCCTGCCTATCAGAACATTTGTTTTAAAATCATCACATCTAAATTCATTTTTCCATGGCTGGTACATGTGTCGAATGATTCTCATGAATAATGACAGTAAAAGGAATAAAGGAGTTTATATACTGAAGAGTTCCCATACATTCATGCATCAGTAGTATTTGGTTTCTCTCTTTCTCTTTCTCTCTCTCTCTCTCTTTCTCTCTTGCTTTAATATATATATATATATATATATATATATATATATATATATATATATATATATATATTCCAGCAATGAAACAGCACTGTTGGAGTCTGTGATACACCTTCTCATAACCAAAATATTTGGTTTGTATGAATTTGCTGATGAGTGTATTTACATCACCTGAAAACTTATAGCATTAGATAACTACATAGATAATTGATATTTACTACTGTTGTTACTGTTCCAATGAAAAATAAATATGCCATTGTCACCTCATTTTTCCTGTCTTCTGTTATATTGAAAAAAATGACATCAAAAAAGTTATTTTATTGAATTACACTTTCTGCAATAGCTTAATTTAACGCGAAAAAATACGTTTTATTCAACTACGTAATTGTAATTTCCCGGGTCACGAGACACTTGCTATCAAATCTAGTATCTGATAAATGGATGGAAGCCAACATTGAGCGTGAGCGAAAGTTGAATCATGAGAAAATAAATCACTCGTGAGCTCCCGGGAGAGTGAGCCACCGTCCAGTGTCACGCATCATTTATTCACTTTTTGCGCTGAAATGGGACTGGTCACTGATATGAAACTGAAAGATATATGATTTACTTTTAGTATATACATTTATATATAAGATAATTTTACTCACTGTGTACTACATATATACACTACACAGTACACACCCATATAGATATCTGCCACGCTTGCTTGTTCGTGTATCTAAACATTAAACTGTGAAGCTCTGAGGTGCGTATAGATTTATTCGATGTTCTCTCGTGTATCGCGAGATGGCGCCACTGAGCGGCAAGAATCGATAGCGAGGCTACATTCGCGCCAGTTGACGATGCCGCTGATGGATCTATGACACGTGAATATTTCGAGCGGCGACGATTTTACCATATTTTCCGTCTCTGTGAAAATGGAAGTCCCAAAACTGGTAGAGATATTACGGGCAACTATTAACCCAGCCCAAAGAGAAGATGCCGAAGCACAATTACTACAGGTTTGCTGTGAAATTGTCTATATAAATATACTTGGCGCGTCGCTCGTGGCCGGGAGAATGAAAAATGGCCGCACGGTTGCACGTGTTCGCGGTGCTGGTGTAGACGTAAGGCAGCATAAAGGTTATTGGTATTGGAACTCATTCTGCGTGTAATATGCGTTTTAACTTCACATATATTTTACTTTTCAGATACATAAGATTATAGGATTTGCACCTACGGTGCTTCAGGTTTTAATGGCAGAGCATGTGGACTTGCCAGTTCGACAAGCAGGTAACCGACTAACCCGACCAGGCTGTGTGACTAACCTTAATATACACAGCCTGACATCCATCTATTGGATAATCTTGTACCTCTACAAAAACTGCCGAACAATTACGTATATCTCAAATATAATAATCATCTAAGCATTTCTGCCTTGTTTTGTATCAAGTATAACCTTCACCTTATAAGTTATAGTATTCCAGCGTTGGTATTAAAACTAATACCTCAGTTCGCTGTGCGCAGTGTAAATTTTAAGAGCCGAACCTAAATTTCACTTTAACCGCCAACCGCCATGTTTCCATTGCGCATGTGTTTCGATCGGAACGCGGAAAACCCGAAACGACATAACATACCATGTAACGTTGCAACTCGCGTTGGCGCGAGCATAAATAAGCATCATATACTCGTATATATATAAATATAAAAACATTGAAAACCAGAAAACATCAATCTACAACAACTTAATAATTATCATTGCGAAGATATGTACTTGCCTTGTGTTTAGGCCTACCTACTGTGGAAATCAGGTCCATTGCCGATTTTAGTCGCACCGAAAATGGCGCACATGGCCTTCGAGTTATATTCCTCTGACCTGTTCTTGGTTTCGCGGTACCCAACTCTATTACCTCGGAAGTAAGTAAATTTTTAGATGTACCACACAGTAAGGAGGGCAACCATGGCTAGTGCTATCAGTGCTGTGATGAAATCTCCACATTCCACTTATGCCACATTTTATGCAGAAGTCTTCATTGTAGAGTAAAATAGTTTGGTAAAAATGTGTTAACTTGGTATTTTACTCTTCAACTTAGTTAAACATTATGCACGTATTAAAGTAACTTTTGCATGAGTTTTCCATTGTTTTCCCCACTTTCATGATACCTACCATTATTGCTTGAGTAACAGCAATTGTCTATAGTAACGATAAAATGTCTTAGAACCTTCGTATTCACCAAATCGTGCCTGATTACAATTTATGTTTACCGTTGCCATCTCTCGGACTTTCTCGCGGTAGCGCGAGACATCCATCACAGTGCAGTAATGCATATATAGTCCAGCCTAAAAATTACTTTTTTTTTTACGAGAGCTCTTTTTTTATTTTGTATGGAAAAAGAGCTCTCGTAATTTTTTTTACGGGAGCTATTTTAGGCTTGGCCAGAGCTACTTTTTCATAGCATGATTTTGTTAAAATTTTCATAATTTTGATGCACTGACTCTAATTATATCATTCATCAGCATTCAGCACTCAGCACCAGTATCAGACTATCAGTGTTAAGAAATCGTCAACAAATTACATTCGATCACGTTTTTTTTAATCTCATTTCACTCGACTAAGAAACCAATCACATTCTTATTTTTATAATTTCATTCACACAGACAGACATGCACTACACAGTACACATAGTCAGGTAACATGACAAAGACAGGAAATCAAGAATTATAATCATGGTAATGATGGTATGGTTATTTTCAAGTTTCTTTTTTTTTTACTTTATTTCTTTTCATCTTTCAACTTTATTTTTACATCGACTGAGCAAGTTCAGAACTTCAGAGAACATTGACTGAGCAAGTTCAGAACTTCAGAGAGAGTTTTTAGTTACTTTGAGTATGTTAAAAAAGACTTGTACTGGAATCTCTAGGAATGCCGGGAGCTTTTGGGTAAGGTTTTACTTTCGTTTCTCTCCTCCCCAGTCCACGGTACCCCCATGCATAGATCAATGCTGCCGCACATCCGCAAAGTTACAAGTGCCTAGAATCTTTTTAAGTATATACAGTTTACATTGCTTCTAGATATCTAACTGAATAAAAATAGTTCACTTTCTACAAATCAGTGACGAATTCAGTTAACAGCTTTGGTTACGTGCGTGTCAGGTGTCACTGGTCGTGCCCTCACTCCCCACGATAATTAACCCCTGAGATATAAAAACTTATTGTTAAGGCCGAGCAAAAACTTGGTGGGCTCGGGCCTCCGGGGCCGAAACTAACTTCTATAACGCTGCCGGCGGCACGGGAGCGATTTTTTCTCGTATCTTCCAAAATTTTCGCTCTCGTAATTGTTGTTACCAGAGCGCTTTGAAAGCTGACGGGAGCGAAATCGCTCGCCGCTCCCGTGGCTTTTTTTTTCTGGTATTGTCGCAACGCC